ACATGTTGCTATTATGGAACTAATATAGCGCTATGTTTATATTTTTATGAAATTCAAGTGTTATATATATATTTTTGTTATTTAATTATGTGAATCCGTGGTCCTAAACCGATCCAATCCGTATTTAAATGGATTGGTTCGGATTGGTTCCATGATTTAAACGGATTGGATTGGTTCTAATTTTTTAGGAACCGTAAATAACGGATTGGTCCTGGTTTTATCCCAATCCGGTCCAATCCGGACCATGCTCACCCCTAGTTCTCTTCTTCAGCGGACCAGATGAAAGAGAAGCACTATCGTACGCATGGAGGATGTCCGACCACCCCACAATCAACCTAACCGTAATGCGCTTCATCCCGGCGACGACGCAATCGAATCAACCATCAAAACCAAACACACTGAATTTTCGTTTCTAAAACTAAGAATGATGAAGTAAAAAAAATATAAAAAATATTTGAGACACTTAATTTATCATTTTTAAAAACATTTTTAATAATTTGTTTGACAAGTGTCAAATTTTTTATTTACCAAATATTCTATCATATTAGGGGTCATTTAGAAGTAATAAATTAAGTTGATGTAGCATTGTTAAAAAAAAATCTCACACTTTGACCATAATAATAAAATAAATTTTTAATTTTGTCAATTTAAAATTTTAATTTACCTATCTATTTCAGTTAAGGGAAATTGACAAAAAAAATAATATTTTAATCATTAAATTCAATATAAGTTTACATAAAATCTCCTTTCTTTCGTTGACCTCAATAATTTAAATATTTTTTTCTCCGTCGGTTACTTAACAAAAATATGATAATTATTTAGATTGAAATCAAACAAAAATGGTAGGGTTTAAATTCATAAATTAAAAATTTAGAATTTTTTTTTATTACAATGGTTAAATTGTGAATTTTTTTTTTTTTTTTTTGGTGTGTAATTTTTTCTACAAAAAAATCATATAAACATAAATTAAAACAAAAATAGAAAATTTAGTTTGTAAGTATGAGAAGAGAAGGGGTTATTCTTGGGGCCACCACTGGTCTTACTCAAATAATCTGAATATTTTGTTGTAAAGCTTTGCGTGGAATGTTTATGATGAAAAATTAGATTGATTTGATATTTATAACTTCACGATTTTATTGTATTTGGTAATTTGACAAAAATTAAAGGAATTGAACATTTAAAATTGGACATCAACCTTCCAATTATTTCCAAAAAATAAAAAATGATTAATTTATTTTATCTCTTGATTTTAATCTAATTTCTACAGTTTTAAAAAAATTAATGGTAAAATTCAAATAATTACAATTAAAATTACCAAATTGTCATAATAGGCAAACCAGAGATACTAAAGTATAATTTACCTTTAAAATTAAATAAATAAACAAAATGTTGTCATTTATTTGGTAATATAGCACTTTTGAATTTGAGTAATATTATAACAAAAATGGTAGAGGTCCTAAAAATTCTGCCAAAAGTTTTACTAAATGTCTCACATGGGTGTACATGGGACCCACATTGTGTGGGTCCACACCCATGTGAGACATTTGGTAAAATTTGTAGTAGAATATTTGGGATCTCTAGCTTTACTCATATTATAAATTTAGATTTAATTATTTAAAACTTAATCAGATTTTAATTCATATTTATCGTAGTTCTCTTCTTCGGCGGACCAGACGACAGAGAAGCACTATCGTACGGATGGAGGATGTCCGACCACCCCGCAATCAACCTAACCGTAATGCGCTTCATCCCGGCGACGACGCAATCGAATCAACCATCGAACCCAACCGCGAACCCAACGACCCTCGAATCCTCACAGTCGTCACAGACAAAACCGAGTGTTAAAACAAATTGATGTATATTATTGATTGATGTATTACAAGATTGTTGTGTGTTTTGTATACTACAAGGATGTATTATATAGGAGAAGTTTTGGGAGTAGGTGAAGTGTAGTGGAGGTGGTAGGTGAAGTGGGTGCTAGTGGAGATGGTAGGTCCGGATAGTCCCAGCCATGAGAATGAGAATGAGAATTATGGTAATTTTAGTGTACAGATGAACCGGCGGCAGCAGCAGCCGCCCCGCGGGCCGGTTTTGTTTAATTCGTGAAAATATTGTTTTGAATGATGTACAGTTATATATTTAACAGTATCGATTCTTATATCAGTTAATATTGAAATTTTTTTAATTTTGATAGTATCAATTATTTGTCATAGACCAAAATTTGCATGTCATTTGTGTTTGATATTTTTAGGCATTGTTGGCTATTTCAGTTGAGAGTAAAAAAAATATAAAAAATAAAATAGACTAAATAAGTCATTAAAATAAAATGATATATTTAAATTATAATTATTTTTCCTTTTTATCTCTTAAAAGTCAAAATAAATTTATCAAATGAATTTTTTAATCCAAGTTAAAAAAGTTTCAATTCCAAAAATTTAACTAAAACAGTTTTTGCCAAATGTGGACTTGGCCTCGTTTGGAAATCCTCCTATTTAGTCAAAAAGTTACTAAGACCATCTCCAACGCTTCACCAAACCTGGCATCAAATTTAAATTTTGGTAAAAAAGTTACTATTTGGTGCTCTAACGGTTGCACCAAATCGATATTAAATTGAGAATTCACCAAACAATTCATCAAAGTGAGGACGGGATACTGATTTCAGCAAATCACTGTTTGTTATCGTTGGGGGAGACCAACCGGTCAACCAGCCGGTTGACCAACCGGTCGACCACTAAAAGGTTCAAACAGTTCAAAATTTATAGGTTCAAACAATTAAAAAAAAAATTGCCTGACAGACCGGTCGACCACTAAAAAGTTCAAACAATTCAAAAAAAAATTCAAACAATTCAAAAAAAAAAAAAATTTGCCCTTACCGGTCGACCAACCGATTGTCCCGGCGCAGATTTGATGAAAGTTCACCGTTGGAACAGCTGATATCAAATTGGGAAAATGAGCCATTTTTTACTTAAATTTGATGAAAAATTTGAGTAACCGTTGGAGATGCTCTAAATTAGCAAAAAGCCACCAACCCATACCAAAAGTCAAAGATTCTCTTTTCTCTCTACTTTTTGCACATCTTTTCGTAAAAAGTTAAAAAGTCATCCCAAACATACTAATTTTTTTTAATTTATATTTTAACCAAATAATCAAAAAGTTACTAAATTATCCTATTTCCAAACGAGGTCTAGTAATGGTCCAAAGAACAATGCTATGAGCCACATTTTTTAAGAAATCATAAAAAAATGTTGATTAGAACAAAGCTAATGTTGTAAATGGTAACTTATGTATTTGGCTCATTAAGTGGTTATTTTTTAGACTCTCATATATAGAATGACCATTCTATTAAAAGGATGAATGATTACTTTATTTGCAATATATTTTGTCATTATTTTTTAGTCAATCAAACATTGAAATGAATATTTTAATAAATGTGCATTTCATTCCGTTTCACTCTAATGAACCAAATACTATCTTATTTTTTTAAAAAAGTATTCCGTGTGTTTCGTTTCAATTTTCTGAAAATTGAGTTTTTGATTTTTTGTGTTTTTTTTATTGAATATTTTTAAAATTTTAAGCAATTTTTTATTTTTTTAGATGCACTTTACTTAGATATGTCTAAAAAATAAAATATTTGTAAAAAAAATATTTTAAAAAATTAATAAATACACAAGAATACAAAAAAAATGTACTGAATTCTCTTTTCTTTTCTTTTCTTTTTTTTTTGTATTTTTGGTATTCAGTGAATTTTTTAAATATTTTTTTTACAAATATTATACTTTTTAAATGTATTTATGTTAGGTATATCTAAAAATTAAAATGCTTGCTAGAATATTAAAAAAATTCAGTAAAAATAAAAAAATACAAAAATTTAATTTTCTAAAAAATGAATCCTAAAAATCAAAACCAAACAAAGTAATTGGTAACATCAATAGACTTTATATCCTACGGGTCTTGAGCACTGCTTGTAGAAGATTGATCGATCCATGTGTGTTTTTCCTAATATTTCTATCAATAATGCTATTTTTTTAATTTATCACTCTTAAATGATTATTAGTGATGTAACATTGAAATTAGACTTCACATAATAGAATATTTAATAAATTAAAATTTAATACTTATCGAATACAAATTATATTTTTTAAAAATGATAAATTAAATATCTCAAGTATTTCTCATATTTCTATCTCTCTCTATCTAAACATTGGATGGGATCATTTGTCCCCCCACATAATGGAAGGCATCTTTTGTCCTTAATAATAAAATAAATTGTCGGTTTTGTTCTCTTGTTCTGATAGATCAAGACAAGAGAATATCAATTTTAAAATTCTCACATATATACATTTTTTTTATCAGTAAAAAAAGACTTTTATTAATAAAAAATTATACATGAAATGAGATTACATCAAATAAAAGGGAAAAGAGCAGCAAGCATCATAGCAAATTAATCCAATCCCAACTAGATTGGCACTGAGAAGAAAGCCCAATTAACTACAAGCTCAACCCCAGGAGTTTGGTGAGGAACCAAACCCGACCGGAGGAAAGACCAACAAGAGAAACAAAAAACGAAAGCCTGACAAAACCCAAAATAGAAACAGATCCCAATTAAACAAATTACAGCAGACACATAAGAGCAAAACAGAAACAACCACAGCAGCTCACAGCAACAGGCAGGCAGACCTTAGCCCAGAATCAACCATCTCATGCACAATTATTAGAAATTTAAACGAGCTCATGTGGTGCACCAACAAGTATGGAATTTTTTAATGAGTAATCTTCTAACTCCAATTTTTTCACTGTAAATGCTAAGTTTATAAAATTTTCATGTAAAATACTCCTAAAATGGTTTGAAAATTATATTTTTACAATTATGAATAAGCATATAATGATAGATTTTTTATTTTGTTGAATCAATGTAAGTAAGCTATATTATTTTCTATATGAAATTCCTGTATATATGTATAGTTATTTCACAAGTCAATCCCATATCTTGTGCATATGAATGAGAAATGGAAATTGCGAGGCAATAATTTTTCTTATAGTGATGGGATCAGATCAACCCTTCCAATAGAACCCATTACACATTGCTTACATTTTTTCCTTCGAAGAAATTATTCATTTCAGTACCCATAATTATTTGTTGTAAATACTCCACAACAATATAAGTGAAAACAGTGAAAAAGTTCAAAAGAAAGAAATACAATACATTGTGAGAGAAATAAACAAAAGCAGCTCTAAGCACATTGGAAGCCAGTGGGGACTTTCTTTCCACAGTAATTCAGCAACAAGCCCAAAGAAACAGGAACATCAAGATTAATTGCTTACATTTTTTTCCTTTGAAGAAATTATTCATTTCAGTACCCATAATTATTTGTTGTAAATACCCCCACAACAATATAAGTGAAAACAGTGAAAAAGTTCAAAAGAAAGAAATACAATACATTGTGAGAGAAATAAACAAAAGCAGCTCTAAGCACATTGGAAGCCAGTGGGGACTTTCTTTCCACAGTAATTCAGCAACAAGCTCAAAGAAACAGGAACATCAAGATTAATCCCCAAGGCATTAGCTTTAATGGCAGTGCAAAGGCAAATAGCAGCTTCAAGATCAGCAAGTCCCCCAATGAGGGAGCAGCAAGGAGTCATCGCCGGGGTTCCAACGACTAGGTGCACCAAATCATTGAGCAAGTTGGCACACACACCCAACTTAAGGGTGTCTGTAGGGCAAGTGGCCTTGGCTGGTGGAGGAGATGGGTAGTGGTTTGGAGGAGATGGGTAGTGGTGGTGGCTGGGTGTTTTTGATGGTGGTGGTGGGCATGGGACATAATTGGAACTGACTAGAGTGAAGAAGAGGAGGTTGAGGGTGAGGAGGAGAGTAGTTGAAGCTAGTGCCTTTGAAGCCATTTCAATGACACCAAAAAGTCTTGAATGGTTTGGGAAATTAGGCTGTGTGTGCTTTGGAGAGAATGTTGGGAGTGATGGAAATGGTGAAGTGGGTTAGGCTTTTATAGATGGAAATAATGACTTCTCCTTTATTGTTTTTTTTAAATGGGTAATATTCAGAAATCTCTAAGTATTATCTAGCATTGTTAACGTAATACTTCTAATCAATGACGTAATGTACTCATTTTTATTAAGTAGCAGTTGAGAAATAAGAGTTTGCCGAACTAGTATGCTTTGTGATTTTTTATTTGTTAAGAATACTATGTAGACAATTCATCGTAACACTCTAATACTGTTAATAACTTTTTTTTTTATTTAAAGAAATTTTATATGTCGCTATTTTTTTGTCACTATTTTATATTATCTACTACATGGATACTTTTGATTGGTTCCTTCATTTTGAGATAATTGTTAAACAATTAATGAAGCAAATAGGTGATATTAAGCAGCCTTTTTTATGAAGTGAATGTAAAAAGAATGATAATAAAAGTGCTATTCAATTAAAAAAAATACTGATAAAAATATTAAAAATTAAATTTATGGTATAAATTTAAACTTTATATAATATGGATATACTCGTGATAAAATTGATTCACAAGAATATCTGTTTTATTTATTTATTTGTTTTGGGAATACATAACATTGTCGGAGAAATTATAGAGACAGCCATGTGAGCAGAGTGGATTGGAAATCTGGGCTATGCTAAACAAGTTGGAGGGTGCAAGCTGGAGGATTAGCCTCCTGCATTATAGAGTTTTTTTTTTATTTTTTTTATTTTTTTTTTTAACGATCTTGCATTATAGAGTTTGGAGTTTTCTGCTTTGACTGCCTGTCATTTCATTTCTCTCTAACTCAAACTAAAATATTAATCAATTATTGATCTAATTTTCAGTCCCTCATACTTTTATACATTGTAAAGATTTTTTTTTTCTAATAAATGATTAAACATGTTATTATTGCAACTTGCGAAAGATTATGATGTATACAGAAAAATCAATCGGAAATAAATTTGAATCGCTTATAATTTTCTTTTGTGATTTTTTTTCCATTCACATAGCATTAAGGTTTATTAATGTTACTCAAATTAATCAGAAATGAGCGTTTATTTAAAGACTCAAAGCCTTGCCTTGATGAAGTGATTGAGTTGGTCAAGACTTGAGTTGCTATTTGGGTGAAGTCATCACCGAAATTAGCTCATTTTTTAATTAATGACTTCAATTTAAACATGAAGCAAATTAGAGTTTGCATTGGTGGCAGAGTGCTAACGTTATTCTTTACTGGGCAGTGCTTGTTGGGTGTTACTATGAGGCCATGATTGTTTCACTGTGCTTCCCCCCTTTGCTTTTGTTTGCTTTCCTTCTTGTTGGTTGGTGTCTCACCGACTTGGTTGGTGTCTCACCACCTACCTGGTGGTATGCTGATATATGATTGGGTTAGTTACGTAATATTAACCTAGTTGAGCATTGGTATGGTGTCTAGCAGCAGCAGTGGTTCAGTGTTGTTGCTGTGGCGTTTTGGTCTTTTTTTTTTTTTATTTGTGGCTTCTCACCAATTTTGGTTTTTTTTTTTTTTTTTTTTTTTTTTTTTTTTTTGTGGCTTCTCACCAATTCTAGAGGTGTTATAGCAAATGATAGGATGGGCTTTTTTGTGTCAATCTCGTTGGGATGATTTAACTCATTGCGATACTCTTGCATTTTCCATTTCTTGGTGTAATTTGTTTTATACTTTATACTTGATTCTTACATCAATAAAATCTCTTTTTTGCCGATCAAAAAAAATATTAACCTAGTTGAGATGGTTTAACTTTGTCATGATATCCACTCCTTTTTATTAGTGTGTGATCTTATATTTGTACATAATCTTTCCATCAATAAAGTCTTCTTTTTTTTTTTTGTTAATAAAAAGATATTAAAAAAAAAGAGTTTATTAATGTTACTCAATGACATGCATAAATTAAAATCTTCAGATCAATTATGAGATATTAAGGCTTCCAGAAATATTCATCTTTTGCTGTTTGGTTCTTTGTTTTTCTTGTGGTGAAAAATAATTAAAAGTCAAATCCAATTAGAGTTCAGATAGAAAAGATTCTCACGTTTGCTCTTTCAGTAAAAACAGTGCTCCAAAAAATTAAATAAATAATTTGCCAAGAATTTTGATATGTGGTTGAGATGGTGTGCAGTAAAATCTGTGCATAGACGAATTTAGACCGCAAATTGATATTCTTGAATAAAATTTTGAGTAGATGTTACTGATTGCTTCTCATAACCAAACAATCTCGTTCACCTAAAAAAAATTGGTGCTAGGAAATGCTTCAACTTTATAATTAAATGTGTGTTTAGGACGGTTAATCAATGGTCAGCATTTAATCCGCAGAGTTTACGAGGGTTGCTTGGCACCATGAGTTGAACACCAGGCTCTATGATGCCAATTCTTGATCCTATGCTAGTTCACCTAAATCAATTGGTGTTATAAGCTTTTTATTTTAAACTTATCAATTGGTGTTATAAGCTTTTTATTTTAAACTTCTATTCATGACAGTCAGTTTACTATTGGCGATTGTTAACTTCACAACCGAACAAGTCTAATCAAACGTAGGTAGAGACAGAATTAAGATTTTAAGATGGAGGGGTCAAATATTATGTATATTCAACTCTAATTGCATTTAATTTTTTTTTTTTTATATTCTGATTTGCAAGTTGAAATTCATCAAAATATATAGTCAATAAAAATAAAGATACTTAAAAGGAATTTTTAATTGCCTTCTATTGTTATCACTTATTTAATATTTATTTAGTCAAAGTAAATAATATTTTATTAAATTTAGTATAAAAAGCGACATTTGAGTAGATACAAATGATATATTGATAGTGAAAAATTATCATAAAAATTGAATAGGGAGGCCAATAGAATATCTATCTCTCAAAAATATATATATATATATATATAAAGGTTATAGAAAGCATGGCGGCCATGACCACTCTTGGCCAAAAAATAGATCCGTAACTAAATGTAGGTAACTTAACCGATCTAAGAGTATCTTCAATGTTATATCTTTTTTTTTTTTCACTAAATTTGAGTAAAACTTTGAATAAAAACTCAATTTGATATCACGCACTACAACGGGCTTTCATCAAAATACCGGTCGACCGGGTAGACGATCGGATGATTGTCCGACCTGTCAACCGGCCAATGTAATTTTTTCACAAATTTTTGCAAAGCGGTGGTCATTTGGGAGGACATCCGGTTGGTCGTCCAATGGTAAAAATAACTTGCAACTTCAATGGCTATAAATAGTGATTTGATGAAAAGTACATCCATCCTCAATTTGATGAAAATTTTGAGAAATCCTAAATTTGATGAAACATTTAATGCTGGGTTAAAGCAGTAAAAAGTGAGTTTTTTTTCATCAAATTTAAATTTGATGAAGCATTTAGAATTGGGTTGGAGATGGTCTAACTCCTTGCAATAGAATAGAAATCGGCATGACGTTACAAATTAGAGTCAACCCAGATTTTGGAAGAAAACAAAAGTAAAAGTTTACTGCATTTGACGTAAGACATGTGTGCGTACCAAATACCGCACTAGATGAAAGTGGATCGGAGCTCCACAACTGAATGGATTGTCCAGAAACCGAGGACCTGCAACACAAAACACCATCAAGGCTTTCTGGCCGAGGTTGGCCGAAAAACCCCTCCGACATGCGAATAAGTGATCGAAGAAGATGAAGGACTCTCTCTAGGTGTGGAGAGAGGAAAGAAAAGTGTAAATTCGGTTGTGTTCAAGTTAAGATCAGATACCTTCAATGTGAAGAGAGTGAGGCTTATATAGAAAACTTTGCTTGTTGCCCAATATGATTTCATGGAGTTTTGGTGCTTCTAGGCTTACTTTAACATTGCTCAAGGTAGGAGACCACAATGTAGTTAACAATGGATGCATATACTCATTGTAACCATGCATATAACAGATCAGATTCCCTTGGTTAACTGTTTTCATGATTCTAAGGAGAGGGGACCAGCTGAGGTGGCAGCCTGCACAGGCAAGCATTTATAGCTTCCACGTTTCTCTGAGAGGTTCCCTCAGCTTGGTACTATTGTGCCTCGGCTCGGCCTTTTGTGAGACTGTTTGTAGAGATAGGCTGGCTCATTTAGATGTCTTTGTATATGCTCGGCCTACTTTGGTTCTAATGATGGGATCGGCCTATTAGTTCGATCCATAGATTAAGTTCTGCAGCTCGGCCCAACCCAGAATCTAGGGCTGTTCAAAAATCCGTTCAAACCGGTAATCCGGACCGAACCAAATCGAATCGTACGGTTTGGTTCGGTTCTATTAAGAATTGGTTCGGTTTCGGATTAAGAAATATGAGAACCGTAAAAATGGTTCGGTTAATGGATTTTATGAAAAAACCGCGGTTCGAACCGAACCGAACCGAACCGAATTTTAAAAGATATATATATATAATATCAAGTTTTATTTTTATTAATTGGTTTTTTATAATTTTAATGATATTAGGATGGTATAGATATGTAATATTAAGTAATGCCTTAATATTATTAGTTTTTATCATAAGTTAAATGTAATTAGTTTGAGTAATTATTTTGTTAATATTAACAATTTATTCTTGTAAATAGAAATTTTTGGAACCGTAAACTAAACCGAAACCGAACCGTTTTTTCGGTTTGGTTCTGGTCTGATTTTGCAAGTGTAATGGTCTGGTCTGGTTCTCAAAATCACAGAACCGTTAGAATCGGTTCGGTTCTTGGATTTTCTCATAACCGAACCAATCCGGACCGTGTACAACCCTACCAGTATCGCGGCTGGACTGGCCTTTCTACTACGAGTTGGGCCCAAGTGCTTGAGCACTTACGTAGACTGTTGATCATGGAGTTGGACTTAATTGGCTTGCCCACATGTTCATCTAACCCACTTGGATTTGGGCTTAGAGGATTGGATCGGCCCAAGGCTTGAATTCGACTTGTTTCACATTCAGCTCCTTCATTTGTGTTATCCAAAAGACAACCTAAAAGGGGGAAGGGGGTGAATTAGGTTTTT